TCGTTCAGGTGCATTTGCATCAGCCGGGCCTGGAAGGGTTTCCTCAAGCGCTTGGGCAAATTCCTCCACTTTTCTTTGATGGCAAGTCTTGCTGATGTCAATACATGGTCTTCCTTCCTTTTTCATGTGATACAATCTCTTTGTTCGCAGTTTTACTCTACTAAACACCAGGGAGTGATTAGTATCACAATGAGCACTCTGGTAACTGCGTGTGATCGTAATACTAGGAAGGCTAGAACGCCTAGTGAGCAACACTCCAGCAAGTTTTGGCTATTTTCGTTCATCTTCCCAGTGCCAAAACGGCCTAGACAAGTGGGCCAAGAATTGTGATTAGCACCAACTCTAGCGTTAAAATCTCAGAGAATGAACAGTAGCTCTCCCTCAGGGACCTTGTTGATAGTAGCTGCCAGATCGCCGTAGAATTTTCTTTCACTTCTGTAGTGGCTGACAGTGTTGGTGCATATGCACTAATGAGGGTGACTGGTCCTGCCAATGAGTGGAGCTGCAGAGACAGGATTCTTTCACTCCCCACAGTAGGTGGACCAATGGATCTCAGCAGAATATTTCTGAGTGCAAACCCAACACCATATTCCCTGGTCTCATTCAATGGTTTTCCCTGCCAGAAGAATGAGAAGTTTTTTTTCTTTGACAGATCCCGAGTCTGGCAATCTCGTCTCTTGCAGGGCAACAATGTCCCATCTGCAGTCTACTCAGTTAGCTGTCTTGCGCATGACATCTATTTCCTGTAGGTCGTCAGAAAAGCCGTCGTCAGAAAAGCCAGGGGTCATTGTCTGCACATTCCAGGTGCCCGACTTTAGGGCAGAAATTTCTTATGATTGTTGCATGGTGCAGGTTTATTGATCTGTTTGTTGACTTTCACCCTAAACCCCACCACCCTGTGAGGTTAACAGACCATGGCGAGGTAGCACCTTATTGAGTGGGGATTGCCCAGCTTTAGGCAGGCGGTAGCTTCCTAGTGAGGTGCAATTACCTCTCCCACCGTCGGAAGTAGCCCCTGGCGTCATGTTCTACGGCAATCGAGCAAAGACTTATAACCAGTAACTGCTACTTCCCATGTTGTTTCGACGCTGTACGCGAAGCTGGAGTGTCCTCTCCAGAGCACGAAGCCTGGGTAAAATAATATGGAGGACAGGCTGTTACCCAAGCAGCAAATCCCCCTCTCCACATCACCAAAATAGTCCAATGGAAAAGCCAGAGCCAATACAACTGGTTCCAGCGACGTCCAGAAGTTGCCAGAATGACGCAAACTGCCTCCGGCTCTGGATTTTGCCTCGAAGTTAACTCCTGAAGCCTTTTCTATCGGTGGATATAGCCACAAGGCAGTGGAGGTTTGAAATTAGAGTTGTCCTCCTCCTAGATGGGCTGCCTTCCAAGGCTGATGAGCCCCACCTACCCAGCCTGCTCTCTAATAGTGCGGAAGTATGATCTGACCCCTAAAATTTTCCTGCCCCCCATGTGTAGGCAATGCTATTTGGCTTTCCTATTTACCAGATTAGAGTCAAAAACTTAGAATATAAATTTCTCTCTAATCAATATTTGGGGGTTTGGCTATATTTGATGAGTCATTCAGTGGATCAATAAGAGGCAAAATTGCGATTGAGTATGATTTTGAGATATATTAGCAAGAAGGGGACACAGAAAGGAGAACAAACAAGAGGGATTAGTCAATGGTATAACAGTTTTGGAATCTGAAGAATGACCACAGATGTGAGCTATCCAAATGAATTACAACAAGCAGAATGAAAGGCCCTTCCTAACTGGGAAAGCTGGTCAAAATCTAGATTGGGAGCTAATTATTGGGCTGAACCTGGAAAAACTATGCTAAATTAGGCATCTAAATTTGGTCATACAGGGATGAATTAGAGAGGAATAAGTGATGTGGATGGACCGGTGCTCAGCTTTGGGACATCTTCTTGGGATTAGATTCCACCCACATATTTTCTCTTGAAAGGGCTCCATGCTTTCTTGCTCTGTATGTGAACCTTTAATTCTCCCAATGCTTTCTCTTTCTCTTGTTGAAGCTGTTCTTTGAAACAACCTTTTTTAATTTAGCTGGACTATCTGTTTACATTTGAAAAGTTCTTGGGGGCTGGGCTGATGAACCCAGACCTGGGCAGGCTCCTGTGGAGACCTAAAGTCCTTCAGTTAGCTCTGCACAGGGCACTTATACCTTTAGACCGACCAAGCACACTCTTCTTCTTGTTCAGATTCAAATTGTGCCGGCTACAGGAATTTCAGCACCATTACTACGGTTATCTATCTATCTATCTATCTATCTATCTATCTATCTATCTATCTATCTATCTATCTATCTATCTATCTATCTATCTATCTATCTATCTATCTATCTATCTATCTGTCTGTCTGTCTGTCTGTCTGTCTGTCTGTCTGTCTGTCTTATTCTATTCTATTCTATTTGTACCCCGCCTATCTGGTCAATACGACCACTCTAGGCGGTAATAATATGACAACAACAACAATGCTAATCTTAGATTATGAAGATCTGATTATTTCTTAGATTATGAAGATCTGATTATTTCTACAGTGTTTTCTCTGTGTGTCCCCCCCTTCTTTAAATCTCAGTGTTGTTTTCAACACAAAGGGGGTGGAATGTAGAACCCTACAAATCTGGACCTCATTCTAATCCACATGTTTCTCAGAACATGGCTATTTATAAATTTTCCCTCTCATTATTCAGGAAGAATAATGGTGAAAACTTAGACTACTGATTTAAAGGCAGTATAAGGTGCTTCCATTTAATAAAGAAAAATCAGGGTGGTGTACTACTATAATAGTTTTCAATACAATCTTCCATCCAGTCCCAAATCTTCCTTAAGCGTTTTTTGCTACATAAGTGAGACATAGGCATCCTCAGCATGCTTTTCATCTTCAGTGTTGCCTAAAAAGTTCTACTCATTTCAGTGGGGTAGCTATTTAGTCCTCAGGTGTCAGTCCATCTTACACTGTGAAACTCAGTGACTGAAATTGGGCCAGCTACTCTCTCTGGACGTTGCCTGCCTCCGAGGCCATAGAGTCTATCCTCAGCACCTGCACCACAGATCGGAAGGGATGTTGGCAAGCCTTGGGGTCTGAGTCCCAAGACCGAGTAATTGATACCCAGTCTGAAGTTTTGGTTCCAAGCCCCAAATCTGAGTCACTATTAAAAACAAGCTTTCTTCCACAGAATAAAAGGGAGGAGGTGGGTGGGTACTGAGTCACAAGTCAAGTCCGAGTCAAGTCCCTGGTGAGACTTAAGTCCAACTTAACAGCGAGTCCTGCAACTCGAATCCCCATCCCTGCAGATCCGCTACCTCACAGGTCTGTTGTTGTGAAGACAGTGTGGGGAGAAGGAGATACATGTCTACAGAATACTGAAGGAAGGCAGGATATAAATGGAAGTAACAAACCAACGGATCGATAAGCTCCACTGAATTGTGCAGAAGACTGCAGCCTAAATATCCATGAACACAACTAATCCCACAACTTCTCCATCCCAGCCTGATACAGATATGCATGAAGGCAACATATTTAGTACAAAACATGGTTCGCACTAATGCACACACAAGGATACATCACAGTTAAAGCAAACCATGAGACAGGGAAAAAAGGAAGGTGAGAATATGCCCATATTACACTCTCAATACCTTAGCTATGATTAAAAGACTGAGAACACAACACCGGCATTGGGCAGACATAGCCAATACCCATAATAAAGTGACTTTGTCTAGAAATCTTTATTTTTCTCCTAGGGCATTATGCTTCCCCTTCCCTCCCTCCTCCTGCATACCTTGTCCTTCTGGAGTTTCACCAAAGGGATTCACCTCTACTTGAGTGGCATCAATTTTCAGGAAAAGATTGTAGAGCTTCTTAATTTGATCTGCAGCCTGAAGTTGAAAAGGCAATATATCATTATATAAAAGTAAACCACCAGAAAGATATGAGTATGGCGAAAGAGAATTATCCTAAATTAAAAGACTAAATATATTTTGTTTTCTGCATGAGCGTAAGAGCAACAGAGAGGGGTTAAAATGTGAATTTTTCTTCATTAAACGGAAGTGCTTTTAAACCAGTCGCCTAAGTCTTCACCAAAAAATATTGATTGCTGCTTCCAAACATTGTCAAACATGGCAAAAAGGCCCACTCTTCACTGTGCACTCAATAGAGCTTTGCAGTAAGAAAGTGCACCATCATTAATTCAAACAAATTTAATTTAAGCACAATGAACCAAGTTTGAGAGTTCATAATGAATACATTAAACTGATATTGAAGTTAAAGTGATTACCTTAATGAGACTAAATTCAGAAACTGTGAAGCAATATGTAGCTGACAAATGCAGATTAGTTGTTGAATTTGTTTAGAAAATGTACAGGACCATCTTTCCTATATCAACATGCTACTTTCCCTGCAGAAACAATGAAAAGGAGCTTATTTGCTCTCAAAACTTGGCTCTCATTAGTTTTCCTTTGAGTACTGTCAATCCATGACTAGGACTAAACTTTCCTAAACCATTACTGTAAATTTGGCAACCAGATTTCCTGTTTATTTCTTAAAGCAAAAAATTGAGTTAGTACTTGCTTATTCATTCATTCATTCATTCATTCATTCATTCATTCATTCATTCATTCATTCATTCATATAATAACAGATTTAGAATATATATTTTATATAATATAATCTGTCAGAAAGCAGACCAGAGCATGGTTTTTAAATAAGCAGCCATCCCCTGAAAATAGTAGGTATGTATAAACAAATCATTAATGAAACAGACAGGACCAACCATAAAACTTAATGAAAAGAAGACTATACTAACATTGACCAAACACAGACTAGAACAAATAAGTTCTAAAAGTATCCTAAACGCGTTGACCATATTCACTCAAAAGATGTGGAGCTATTACTGAAAAGGCTTTGTTCTGTCTTGATCCAAACTTTTAAAGGCTTAAAATGGCTAAAACCAGAAGAAATAGATATGCAGCCAACACAACCGGAACAAAATAAATGTACCATTATCCTAAAAGTCTAGTATTCTAGCTACTCCATTCTGAATCCAGGCAAGTTGTCAAACGGTCTTTAAGGGCAGCCCCACAGATAGCACATAAAAGTAATCAAGTCAGGACATGTCTCCATTTCAGAGTGTACATTAGTGAAGTATAACTATTTTAACAAATAATAAATAAGGTTACAGGTAATGACCCAGCCTCTGCTGGAACAAAGAACTCATGGCCACAGATGACACGTGCAAGCACCAAGACCAGGAGGAATCACTACATGTTGGAGATGTATCTTCTAGTCTTCACACAGCCAAGAAACTGCTTGGATGACTTTGCACTAGTCACTTTCTCTCAGGTTGATTAAAACCTTATGAGATTTTAGCCCACAAAAATCCCAGAATCGTCCAGCCAGCAGGACAGCTTTACCACATTCTGACCTAGACCAGAAAGTCCTAAAGCAGGAGGTTGGATTTGATGGCCTTATAGGCCCCTTCCAAGTTCATCATTCTATGATCTATGATTGCTGTGAGGGTACCAAACAAAAAGGAGAGAAGAGCCATAACATACCACTGTTGAGTGTTGGAAAGGTATGCACAACTGCAATTTGCTTGCCATCATCTATCCCAAAAATGCCTAGGAACTTTCTTGGAACGAGGAAATGGAAATGTTTTCTGTATACTGATAATTTGGCCAAACCTCTGGATGATTTTGCCCAACAGTTTCACTTAGATGTTAAAAGCTTGAGGGACAAGATAGTACTCCAAAGGCCAGTGGCTTGAACAATGCAATAAATCTCACCTGAACACAACCTTCTAAAACCTCTCTTCTTGATAGAGCTTGGGCCAACATTCTCAGCTAATACTGAGCAGGGGTCCTGTCCCATGTGCAGGGGGCTCCAGCTGCAACTGGAATCAAATGGGTAGCAACATTGGCTGTAGGTGTGTGACATCAAGGCAGCACTGCATGACCACAGACCTGCATAGCTTAGTGGGAACTCTGGCTTGGACCTATGTTAACCTGGTAGACTCCTGTTTCAATTTACAGAGACATACCAGAGGGATATGATGGTTGATGCTCTCAAGGTCGCTGAGAGGACTAGAAGAAACCATAGTCTAGATTCTTCTCATCTGTTCCTGTTGTAAATCATTATGCAAGAGAAGCAGACACAGGCAAGAAGGAAGAATAGAATGGATTTCAATAATCAGGTCTTTCCTTTCTGTCCAGAGTCAACAGGTCACCATCTGGTCTGGGAAGGTAAAAGGTAAAGGTTCCCCTTGACAATTTTTGTCCAGTCATGTTCGACTCTAGGGGGCGGTGCTCATCCCTGTTTCCAAGCCATAGAGCCAGTGTTTTGTCCAAAGACAAGCTTCCGTGGTCACATGGCCAGTGCGACTTAGACGCGGAACGCTGTTACCTTCCCACCGAGGTGGTCCCTATTAATCTACTCGCATTTGCATGCTTTTGAACCACTAAGTTGGCGGGAGCTGGGACAAGCGACGGGCGCTCACTTCGTCGAGTGGATTCGATCTTACGGCTGCTTGGTCTTCTGACCCTGCAGCACAGGCTTCTGTGGTTTAGCCCACAGCGCCACCACGTCCCAATCTAAAAGCTATGCTGCTGACTGGAGGATTCTGATTCTTTTTGTAGGCCAAAAGTAACTTTTTCAAGTTCTGCTCTCAGACGCTGGTGAAGAGTGCTATGCTATAGATTTCATCATAAAATATTTCATCAAAAAAGCTATAAAATCTAAATTTGACTTCAGAAGTGGTTTAATCACTGCCATTTTTCAAACAATTGGAACAACCCCATCCCTTCAGGAGGCATGTTGATATCCACATAGTCAGTTCTGCACTGACAGATTTTACAAACCATGACACAGGCAAGAATCCAAAGAGCAGGTGGTTGGGCTTAACCCTCCAAGCAGCTTGCTCACATCCTCAGGCTGTAGAAGCACAAAAGTATCTACAACAGGAGCAGATGGCGCACTGGCTGCATCTATCTCCAATTCTGTCAAAACTATGGCATCTAGGTCAGAATACACATGAGTTATTTTGTCTACAAAGTGAAGTACATATTGACTACAATGGGCCTTTGAGAGTTTATGATGTCAACCTACTGGACATGAACTAAGCACCTCCTTTCTGTTTGTTGTCAAGTTGTTTCCAACTTATGGGTCACCCAACAAATTAAGGATTTGTAAAAGGATCCATTATTAACCACCCAGCTCAGTACTTGGAAACTAAAGGCCACTTCTTTTATTGAGTTAATTTTTCTCATATTAGGTTATCCTCTTTTCTTACTTCCTTTTAAATTTCCCAGCATTATTGTATTTTCCAGTTAGTCTTCTCATGACATGCCCATAGTCTTGATTTAGATATTTTAACTTCTATTGAGGGTTCCAGCTTAGTTTGATCTAGAAACCACTTATCTATCTCTTATGCCCATGGTATATGTAAAACTCTCTTCCAATGCTATATTTGCAAGTGGATCATTTTTTCCCTACCAGCTTTCTTCCCTGTTCCATTTTCACATATAGACTAATTGAGAATGCCATAGTATAAATGATTTAATTATTGGGGGGAAAACACCCTCCAGTATATGACTGTGAGATGTTTTTCTGTATCCACAACTAAAGTGCTAGGAAATGGCCTGGTACTGCTGCACAATACTGTATTGTGTCTGTGTTGCTAGCAGGAAAAAGGATGCCAAAATTCACATAGCCAAGGGAAGCCTGATTGTCAACAATACCCATGACAGCAATCAAGATGGACTACAGGATACATCTTTGTGCTCACTATCATTTCTTCTAGCATTTTATTTATTTATTTATTTATTGGTCTTCATTAGAATCCAGTCTTTTGAACAGCTAATGAATCTTAATTATCAGTTCAAAACCAGACCACCTGAAAATGCTTTCCTTTACAACAATAACACCTTAATGTTAGGGAAATTGTTCTTTCCTCTGGCTAATGTAAGCACAGAGAGAGTAGGGAGTCTAAGAGAGATGGCAAATGACACTGTTATCCTTATCTGGCTTTGTGGCTCCAAGCAATAGAAACCTGGAGAACTTGTTAAAAAGCAACCTTGATTATTGCTTTGTGTTTGGATGAGAAGTGGTTAACTGATGAAAAAAGGAGTCAGGTTCTGGGATTTTCCCCTGCTTGGTGTCTTTTTGTGAATGGCAATGAACATGAGATGCTGTTGGTTATGACAGAGTATAAGCACCGAAGTTCGACCAACCTCAAGCAAGTTGAGACACATTGCCAGACACAAAGCAATCACAGAATTAACTCAAAAAATTGGCAAGCATCAGAACTGATTTGACGGCACATAACATCTTTGGAAGGTTTTTTAAAAATTACTAAGCAATCATATAGTGACAAGATGGGTGGAACTGTGACTATGACAGGAGACTATGACAGAGTATAAGCACCGAAGTTTGACCAACCTCAAGCAGGTTGAGACACATTGCCAGACACAAAGCAAAAACAAAGAACAACAAACCAAAAACCCCATGTTCACATATTAAATAACTGAGATTCTGTTCGGTAATCTTTTAAAAACATTTTAAACAATATTTTCAATATCTGCATTTTATTATTTTTTTTAATGCTGTGTCCCCATTTTTACAACCAGACACAGACTTAATGAGTACTCACATAAGTTCTCATTATTGTTGATTTTCAAAATCTCACCATGATTAGATTCCCACTGGCACTTTCTCCAACATCAGTTATATTTTCCTGATTCCCTGTGGAAATAAGACCCCCGTCTCGTTTTTCGCCACACTCCCACATTCACTTTCTGCCCATTGCAATATGCAGGAATTTGCCAAATTCTGTGAACCTACGTGACCTTTGCATAGGTAGATACTATGCAAGATGTTTTTGCCATGTTATGCCATTAAAGAAGTGTAGAAATCCTGCACAGTTTTGTGTTGCTTACATCCTTTTGCTTTTTCTCTACTTCAGATTGAAACCTCCTTCAGACAGGGACATGTATGTTGGCCTTTGTTGCCCGGAAAACCCTCAGAAACTAGTGTGTTGTTCAGTGGCAGTAACAACAGTCACCATAACGGCTACCAAAACCACAACAATTTAAAACAGGAGCAATTTTTAAAATCAAAATTTAATCAAATTTAAGCTCCATCTAGGCAGTCCTAATGGTTTAATAGAAAGTACGCAAATAATTAGTTGCATTCTTCCCTCTGTGTTTTTAATTCCCATTTTGGTCTTACTGAATCAAGGAGATGATATCTCACACTTCCTAAGGCAATACAGGGGAGGTGTACAGCAGAGGTTATACTCTTTCACCAGTTACTGAAATAGCTGGGTTTTATTTTGGCCCGTGCAGTGTATTGGACAGAATGGTGCACTAGGATCTGGGAGACCTGGGTTCACCTCCCTGTTCTGCCAGGGAAACTGTCTAAGAGATGGCAATAGGAAACCATTCCTTAAGTATCTCACTTATCTAAAAGAACAACAAAACAAAACAAAACACTATTAAGGTTGCCATCAGTTGGAAACAACTTGACAGCACATACCAACTTTGGCAGGCTGATTTGGCTTTCTAGCATTCAAGCGCTCTGGAGGAGACTCACTAGCACTGGATGACTGCACATTACTTAGATTCCTTCCAGCATTCTTAAAATAATCAGACACACAAAAATGAGGTGACCAGATACAACATCCTATTTGGTCCTTGCATCTAGGACAAAGCTCTCAGCTTTTACTACTATCAACAAACGTGTGAAGAAAGTTAGTTCAAGAGAAAGTGGCTGGCTTAAAAATTGCCTACTGGTTTCCTCATGCATAAAAATTACCCCCCCACACACACACAGAAATGATGCTGGGAAATCTGTTCTTGGTGATTTGTAGCATCATGTTATGCACACTAGCCAGAAGATACAGAGAAGTCTCGTGTAATGGTTCTAAAATCACAGCTGCAACAGTCACATATTAATCACATTGCTAGTGATTCTGGAAAAGAAGGACTTGCATATTTCACATTGTAAGAATAAAGCTTTCTAGAAATAGTTTAAAAACATTAACAGAGAAACAGAATAACATTGAAGTGGATCTGTCCAACAAGGGCTGCTAGAATTGCATACTAGATCGTTCTTCAGCTGCTGGGTAATACTTTTAATATTTTGGCTCCAATTGACTGTGTCTTGGCCTAGTGTGTAAACTAAATACAGTGGTGCCTCGCTTAACGGGCGGCCCGTTTAACGACGAATCCGCATAGCGATGGCTTTTTTGCGAGCGCATTGCGATGTTGCCTATGGGGAAAATCGCTTTGTGATTTTTCCCCATAGCCCCATTTTCGCCCAGCTGAGTG